AAGCGTGCCATAAGGCTGACCAGTTGCGGGCTCTGCTACGACGGGAACACAAACCCCAATTTTTACCGGAGCACCCTTTTTGACCATTCGACCTAGTACATATCGGAAACTGTAGTGACCATTCCAAGCTAGGACAAGTTTCTTACCCGATTATAGGTTGTTTGAAACTATTGTGTGCATAGTGAAACCCTAGCTCTTGACAAGATAGGACAGGGAAACCCTACCCCTTCATAGGGGTGTTTTGGCTCTCACTTGCTTGTTATGTGCTTTTAGAGTGCGTCTCTGCAGGAATGCATAATGCATGTATCAGTTTGCAAGTCTGGCTATCAGGCCTGCGAGCATCAGTATTCGAAGAATCAGTTTTACCTGAGGGTATCAGATCTGGGGCAGTGATTTAGGAACATTGATCAGTGGTTGAGAACAGTTCTTTCAGCTTGTATTTGCCAACTGTATGTTGTCTTTATTTAAGTTGTTATGCTGTCCGTTTTTCTGCTCGTTGTTTCCTTATTATGCTTTATTTATCTTTTTGCAAGATAGTTTAGCACCATTGCTTCTAACCAGGCAGATATTTCCCGACCACTTTGGGTTAGATGTCGTAGGCTTAATCGATCTGAGGATCTGATAGACGGACAAGCAGTGTTCTTTTCTTTACCCCCGGTTACCAGACGGAGGTCAGTAAGGCGTAGTGTATCGGTACAGCAGTTGCCAGATCTGTGGTCCTTGAGTAGTCAGGCTGAGATTTCCGAGACTACTGCAGAGATAGATATACCTGTAGTTCAGTTAGATCAGGGCAATATGGCAGGTATGGAAGAGATGATGCGTCAGCTCCAAGAGAGTATGCAAGCCATACAGTAGCACGCCGCCCGTCAGGCAGAGTTTTCCGCACGCCAAGCCGAGCTTATGGCCCAACAGGCAGAGTTAATTTCCAAGCTACAGCAGCAAACCGGAGCATCTGCTTCACATCCACCTCCTCCCCCACCAGGAGTTTCAATACTCGGGGAGACCGCAAACGTCCAGGAAAATACAAACGTTCCAACAGGGCCAGCTCTGCCCCAGTCAGGCTGAGATTTCCGAGACTACTGCAGAGATAGATATACCTGTAGTTCAGTTAGATCAGGGCAATATGGCAGGTATGGAAGAGATGATGCGTCAGCTCCAAGAGAGTATGCAAGCCATACAGTAGCACGCCGCCCGTCAGGCAGAGTTTTCCGCACGCCAAGCCGAGGTTATGGCCCAACAGGCAGAGTTAATTTCCAAGCTACAGCAGCAAACCAGAGCATCTGCTTCACATCCACCTCCTCCCCCACCAAGAGTTCCAATACTCGGGGAGACCGCAAACGTCCAGGAAAATACGAACGTTCCAACGGGGCCAGCTCCGCCCCCAATCCTACCCCAGCTGTCTAAAGAGCCGACTAACCTAGTGGATACACCCTTTGAGTTCGAGGTAGATCCCACAGCGCTAAAAGTGAGCAAGCTAGAAAAGCTGTTCAAGAAATCTCAAGGCGTGAAATCCATTCCAGATATAGAGGATGGGTACACCGACTCGGCCGTGACTCTGCCGAACCGATAATTTTTATTCTATAAAGAGAAACTAACACGACAGAGTCAGATAACAGAACAGCTGACTCAATCCACCTCCTATTAGTTAACCTCAAACCCATGAACAGCCCAAAACCTTCTGCCGACAATGCTTCCAATGCCACAACCACTTCAATCCTAGCGACAGCCACCATTAGCACCTGCTATTACAAAAGCAATAAATTATTGTATATGTGAAAATGATTCAAATTACCCTCCAATGACACAATGAAAAGCAAAAGAAAACAAAAACCTATAAAGGAAGAAAATTCAATCTCTGAATCATGGAGGACTCAGTGCACTCTTAATCATGGGAGCTGTCTCAATGCGCTCAGAATCCTAGACATTAGCAATTCCTGTCATAGGTAAACCACAAATTCATATCATTAGCATAAAAAGTAATCTTTATACATTTATGCTTCTAAGGCCATTTTGAAGCAAAACAAATTCGAATAGACCATCTCAGATTGCTCAAGTTTAAAAAAAGTAAATGGTCTATGTTCTTCAAATATAACCAAGTTACAAATGATTCATCTTCTTCAAACCATTAGATAAACTAACCATTAGATAAGTTCTTTCAATTCAAGCAGTTCGATTACACTTGAATGCAAAAATTTAGTTTCAGCAAGCTTTCTTAAAATTTTAAAAAACACACACACACAAAAAACACAAAAAAACACAAAAACACAAAAAACAATTAAAAGAAAATAAGTAACCATTTTTAACCAATAATTGTGATTGACAATGGAAATTGAAGTTCAAATTATGAATCATGCCAAACAGCTCACGTATAATTAATTTTGTGACAAATCTTTGTCATAAGAGGTAACCAATTCATCACACAAGTCCTGGTGCATGATTACACCCACTGTATTAGGCACCATTTGTTTCGCCATGAAATATCACGGTCAATAGTATTCAAAGTACATATCAACCCTCATTGCTTTCATACACATTGAACGTCTTTGTTCTCTCTTGCTCTCTACATATATAGATATATATACATATATATATACTTATACATATATTATGGTTGAACAATTGATCGAAATTAAGTTTTAGGGTTATTGTTTTTGTTGCATTCAATCATTGTCTTATTTTATTCATTGAATAATAATATACAAACATAACTTGTATACAAAATTTCTATACATAATGATATGTTACATTTATATCCACTCAGTAAAAAACAAAATTTGCAGAGTGTCGTTGCCACATCATTTGTGTTCAATTCTATATAAAAATTCTATATGAATATCATTTTTCTTTGTTCTTTTTATTTTTAAAGTTTCTCTATAATTGGTTCTCTATTAAGATTTTTTGTTGTAGAAAATATTTCAGTGTTAACCAAACATCATAAAATAAAAATAAAAATTTATTTTTGAGCAAAATCATCTTACATGAAAAATATTTTACGGCGAAACAAATAGAGACTTAATGTTGAAATCTCGATCAAATTGAGATTAATTTGTTTAACAACTTTTGTGAATTGGAGAAAATATATAAATTCAAATTTAGATACTGAACAAATTTACGTGAATGTTAAATTCATCAAAGGTTAAAAAGTTAGGTTTGGTATAATTTATTATTTGGAGAAAAAAATATTTTTTGTTTTACATTATTTGTTTATAAGCAGGTTACCCTTGGCTATTTTATTTAATCTAGTATATCACAGCTATAAACCAACTAGTAATACAGTCAGTAAAAGATCAATCATGTACCTTAAAAAAAAACATTAAATAGATACGTCTAGAATGTGCACAATTTTATACCAATCCTCCCCATTTCCCTTCTCACATGACCTTTTTAGTTCAGGACTGCAATGCCAAATATCTATGCGTTGGAGTTTGGTAAGGCTTTGAATACTCGCCGGAAGTGATGTAATCTTCGGGCAATAGTTAATGTGCAACGATTGGAGAGATTCAAGGCTTCGTAGCCGTTCCTCTAGGAAAGACTCGAGCTTTGGACATCGTAGGATCGCCAATGACTTGAATGTGCCAAGGCTTGCAAGGTCTTCAGACAACACTTTAAGCCCTTCACAATACTTGATCACTAGTGACTCAAGAAGAGTAAGGTTCCTCAAAAACTCTGTTGGAAAACAAACCGTCTCTTTATCATAACCAACAATTAGGGAAGTGAGACTATTAAGATTTGATATTGATTTTAGTAACCATGGTGCACTTGCCGCTGAACCACAATTCTTTAGGAGACGAAAGATGCAGCAAGCTCAATTTGGGACAATTACTAATGCATATCTTTCGAAGACGAGGGAACAACTCTCTTCCCTCCTCCCTCACAAACCTTTCAAATTCGGACAATAGTAAACATTAAGTTCTACCAAAGAGGGGAATCCTCCACCACCAGGATATTTTTTTTCAATATACTCCAGTACTTCATCCATTCCATGAATTTCAAGGATTTGTAGCAAAGGTAGTTGTCCAAATAGTGGAAGTTGTAAGCAATTGTTGCACTTGTAGAGCTGGATATTAACTTTGTTTTTACGATCTGAACTCCTCATCCAGAGCGAGAATCGAGTACCTTCGTACCCTCTTACGACCAACGCCTTTAGGTTTGGATGAGGTTGAAGGGCTTCAAGTAGTAGTTCAGATTTAATGTTTTCCTGTGATTCAGATTCATCATTTTCCTGTGATTTAGATTCAACATTTTCGGATGATTCAAATTTTACATTTTCTTGTGATTCAAATTCATCAATTTTAGATTCAGATTCAGCCAAACTATATTCCCAATTTAGTACAATCCGATTAAGATTTTGCTTTCCCACTAAATTGGCCTCTTTTGCATCCATCAGATTTCTCACCCTCTCAAGGTGCTCGATACAAAGTTCTCCTCTAAGGTTTAAGCATTTCAGCTAGGAGATTACAATCAGTGCTCTTACCTATAACAAATACAGTTAATGTCTTCAGGTAAGTTAGCTGCGCAATTTTTGGGGGGTATCTTAATTAACCGACACCACTTCAGAAAAACATGTCGGAGACTTCTCAGGTACATCATGTTCTAGGGAAATCTTCAAATTTTTGACAGTTCTCTAGAATTAATGTTTGCAAATTCAAGAGACTACAAATTGAATCAGGAAGTTTCTTGATATGAGCATCGGAAAGGTTCAAATACCGATGTTTTAAGTTTCGAATTGAAGATGGCAACTCTGTCATTGGTCTCCTCCTTGCATCAAAAGTTCTAGTGAGCCAAACGTCCTAAAATCCCACAAAATCTTGTCATCTTTTTCAAAGGAAGTCGGTTGATATTTCAGTCATAATGTCCATAAGGATACAACTTTCTGAAATATGTTGTTAAAACTATCTGCAGGCCTGACAACCAATCTTACATGATGAACTGTTTTGTTGGATATATTAATCGAACTGTTAAACTCCATTTTTTGACATTCATCCTTCATAAGTGATTGAGCAAGATCATGCACAAGATCATGTATCTTGCACCATATCTAGCCTTCATCTTTCTCCACGTCTTTGAAAAAAGAAATCCAACATAATTCATTCCAAATCTGATCACCAATATCTTCCAGCTCCCGTCCTCCTTTGCAAGAAATATAGCCATTAGCCATCCGAAGATGGATTAAATCTTCCTTTTCAATGCTAGAACCCTTTGTGAAAATGGTGCAATAAGCAAAACACCGTCTTGATTCTAATGGAAGATTAAAGTAAATTAATCTAAAGACAGGCAAGATGGAATTTTGGTCCTGGAGTAAGTTCCAAATTTCACTTTCCATAACATAAATCCACTCATTTTCCTCACTTTTGAAGCGCGTTAACCCTCCAAGGGACTTTGCAGCTAAAGGCTCACCGCCACACTTCTTCATTATCTCCTTCCTGATGGCCACAAGGTTTGGAAGTTCTTCATTTCTACGTCTAAATGGTCGTTGCTTGAACAAAAACCAACAATCTTCGTCGGATAAAAATGATAAGCGATGCGTTGGGATAGTTCCCATGATTGATGCAAACTTTTCAAGACGAGTAGTGATGATAACGGAAACGCCTTTTGATCCACATGCTAGTGAATACTTGAGAGCATCCCACTTGTCCGGATCTTCGTCCCACACATCATCTAATACAATCAGGTATCGTTTTCCTTTCAGCATGTCATGAAGCCTTCTCTGCAGTGAGTCTAGGTCTACAGCCTTGCATCTTTTTCCATTTGCAGATTCTATTGTTGCGTTGATCACCATTTTCACATCGAAATATTGAGAAACATAAACCCAAATTTTAGGATCGAAGTGGTGTTTGACCCTCTCATCATTGAAGTCCATTTGTGCAAGGGTTGTCTTTCCAAGCCCTCATATACCAAGTATAGGATACACAAAAACATCCTCACTATTGCATACATCCTTGACCAGAAAGTTGACAATCTTCTCTTTATCTACGTCTCTTCCATAGAGTTGTGGTTGAGTTATAACGGAGCTGGTTTCACGGCTTACATCATATTCAACTTGCTTTTCTTTCAAGTGAAATTTACTACGATTAGCAGCAATCGCATCAAACTTGCCTGTAATTGCTTTTATTTTATTCCCTACATTGTAACAAAACAGAATATTGGGAGAGGCATAAGTAGTTGGCAAATAAGAGAGTACCTTCCTCTTGAGAGAAGCAGAGGGGGATCCTTGGCCTTCAGATTCGCATCAGAATGCTTTGGTTGCACACTCATCCAAGACGTCATCTGCCTCATAGGCTGCGTCGTTAAGTTCCTTCAACCAAGTCTGTATGGCTTTGTCTTGCAGTTGTTTTTGCTCTGCATCTTCGAGAACAACATGGATGGTGGAGAGAGTGCTTGAAAGCTTTTTCATCTCCTTGTCGACACCCCAAAGCAAGGCCACTTTATTTTGGAGCAAGGAGTTCAGATTTTCAATCACAGGGGGAAGAAGAAACGGGACAGCCATGGTGACTTGCTAGCTAGCTATCTGTATTCAAAGGTAAGCTCTCAAAATTCCAAATGCTTTTTAGCCAAACTGAATGAGAAATGTTATCAAAAATAAAGGTTTCCATAATCCTTACACTAGAATTAACTATGCAAGAAGACAACTGACAGAATACTTTGTTAAACGGCCGTAGACTTTAGGAAAATAACTTAATTCATTTCATTTCATTTCATTACCTGCCTAGTTAGGACCTTACCATACTCATATATCATATACTACGTCATATTACATGTCTTCCATATTGATAATGAATTCACAACAACCCAGTCCATTTGGATTGGAGAGGTGCTATTTGGCTGGTGAGATTGGTTACAGGTCTCGTTTTGATAATTCGGAACGTTCATTTTGTAAAATATTTTCGTGTATATTATCTACACAAAAAATTAGATTGATTTGATAATCATAACTTATTCAATTTATTGTGTTTATCATTAAAAAAAATATATGATTTATTTTTTAAAACACACTTATCGACTTAATTTTTTTTATAAATAATATACATAAAATGACTGATAAAATAAAAGGATATTTCGTCTAACATCCCTCTCCAACTTTTAGTAATGGAAGAGGTCCACAATATTTTTTTTTGTAACCTAAGGTCCCTCATCCACACCTATATATCACAACACTCTCTCATTTTCTCTCCTCTCTCCTCTCTCTATCTTCATCTTCTCTCCAGATCTAGAGCCATCAACGCAGCAGCACCATAAGGGCGGCAACGTGTGGTGGATGTCCTCGTTGTTGCCTCCACTCCGCCCTCTCTTTTCATTCCATCATCTTTTGTGTAGGTAGAGGGCCATGGAAAAGGAATACTTAGTTAAAGTTAGAGGGAAGGTTGCGTCGGTGAATGGTAGCGAATTGCAAAGAGCGAACCAAAAACACCAGCACCACTCACTCCGATTGATTTTAGTTCCTTCAAGGTAAAAATATGAGCTTTGTTCACTGATTCGATGGTGTATTTGTTGATTTAAGATTTTAAAATGTATAGCAATTTGAAGAATTTATGTTAATGTATTGGCAGTAGCATTTCTTGGTTTGAGTACGCAAAAAGAGCTTATAAGATTGAAGAAACTTCACGTCAACAACCACAAGATGACCTGAAACACTAACCTAGCAAAAGTACCTGCCCCCTCTTCTACACTTTTTATTTTTTTTTAAATATGTTCAATTTTTTCTTGTTTGGTCAAAACATAGTGACAGGGAAATTGTGAGTAAATCAAAGAAATTTCAAACTAGAGAAAATTAGTCAAAACACAGAGAAATTTGTAAGCAAAATTTAAATCCAGAAAAAAATTAGTCAAAACACAAAGAAATTTATGAGCAAACCAGAGAAATTTCAACCCAAAAAAATTTCAAAACATTGAGAAAATCAGAGAAATTGAGCAAAGCAGAGAAATTTCAAAACATAGATAAATTTGTCTGAAATTTCTCTGTGTTTTGAAGTTTTTTTGAATCAAAATTTCTTAGTATCGAAATTTTTCTGGAAAAATATTGAGAGACCTCAATCACTATGAAAATATTACATGTCATTTATCTTATAAAATTTTAATACCAAGGACCTTAAAAAAAAATTTCCTAAAATAAATCGTTTAAATTATCAATATAAAACACATAGTGAGCTTTATAAGTCTAGACAATCCTCTCCAATCCAAGACCTGTACTGAGGGGAGATCTAATTGACGAAGTACATACAGCGAACACATGGATGAGCGGTATGGTAGTGGCTAATTGAGGGTTTCGAGGAAACTATGTGGGCTCCTTCCTCTTCATTTTCCACTACCTGTCACTAGTTGACCTAAAAAAATGTTAAATTCAGAGATATAAAAATGAGATATACGAAAGAAAGAAGGGTAAATTATTGTAATTTTTTTTTTTCCTTCCTGAAATTACACTGACCTCACCTGTAACTAATGATATTAATGAGAGGATTAGTGTAATAATTTTAATGTTAAAGATATTTTTGTTAATAACCATTAAATAGAGTAATGCTAGAGACCCCAAAAATTCTATTAAAGTTTTTACTAAATGCCTCACATGAGTGTAAGACCCTCCCACACAATGTGGGTCCGACACCCATGTGAGATATTTGATAGAATTTTTGGAGTCTCTAACATTTTTGTTTGTAATAATTAACATCACAAATATTATAACTTGTATATGGTATAATTAAAATAGTGTGTATTCTTGAATAACTAATTGTTATGATAAAACTGATGATGAAATAAATAAAAAAATTAATTATATAAATATAAGATAAGTTATTTGGTAAATGGATTTTAGTCCAAAGTCTAAAGAATCCAACCATTCGTAACTTGACATATTGCGTTTCACTCCATAGGTTAAAGAATCCAACGATGCTTGAGCATAATTCAAAGATTAAATGATTGGCCCAGCTATTGATGTATTCTGTTAGGTTATGTTTAGATCCAAAAATAATTTGGTGAAATGCAAATGAAATATCACTACAAGAAAACACACTTTTGGTGACTAAATTTTTAGTCGCCAAAAGTCCTTTTTTAGTCGCCAAAAGTCGAATTTTCACTATCCCCGACTAAATATTTTAGTCGCCGGTTTTGTCGCGAATAAACGGTCGCGAATACCTTTGGCGACTAAAGTGAGTTTTAGTCACCAATTGACTGTTTTTAGCTACTAATTTTTTTTTAGTAGCCAAAAAGCTTAACTTTCAGCGACCAAACTGTTTTCAATCACCAAAACACGTAGAATCGGCGACCAAACTGTTTTTTAGTCGCCAAAAGCTATACTTTTGGCTACTAAATATTTTTAGTCGCCAAAACCTTAACCTTTGGCTACTAAAAATTTTTTAGTCGCTAAAACCCCTATATTCGGCGACTAAACTGCCTTTTAGTCGCTAAAACCCTTATATTTGGCAACTAAACTCTTTTAGCCGGCAAAAGTGACCAATTTTGGCGACTAATTCCATTTTAGTCGCCAATTCTACTACTTTCAGCGACGAAAAATCCAGTTTTAGTCGCCAAATCTGCTTTTTGTTGTAGTGTATAATTAGTTATATTTTACTTACTCTTTTCTTTTCTCAATTTCTATTCAAATATATGATCCAAACACAAGTATAATGCTTAAGTTCAAATCGTCAACCAATCATAAAGTAACACCTGGCACGGTGGGCATCACCCCTTGCAAATGGTTAAAGAATCCAATTAGGAGCATATTTAATAAATAAGAATTATTATTATTGTTAAAAATTAGTCCCTTGGCTACTAAAAATTTTTTAGTCGCTAAAACCCCTATATTCGGCGACTAAACTGCCTTTTAGTCGCTAAAACCCTTATATTTGGCAACTAAACTCTTTTAGCCGGCAAAAGTGACCAATTTTGGCGACTAATTCCATTTTAGTCGCCAATTCTACTACTTTCAGCGACGAAAAATCCAGTTTTAGTCGCCAAATCTGCTTTTTGTTGTAGTGTATAATTAGTTATATTTTACTTACTCTTTTCTTTTCTCAATTTATATTCAAATATATGATCCAAACACAAGTATAATGCTTAAGTTCAAATCGTCAACCGATCATAAAGTAACACCTGGCACAGTGGGCATCACCCCTTGCAAATGGTTAAAGAATCCAATTAGGAGCATATTTAATAAATAAGAATTATTATTATTGTTAAAAATTAGTCCCATTCCATTCATTAAATGTATATTAAATCAAGGGAGAATATTTTTTTCCATTAAATTGAGAATTTATCAAATCCTGAACTCATCAAATACTTCGTCAAACTAGAATATAATGAAAATTAAAAAAATGATGCATGGAGATGATTTTTTTTGTTTCCCATCAAATTTAACGAAAAGAGAAATCTGGGATAAGAGAGAATTTTTTTATAAAAAATTTTGATAAAAATTTGGTCAACGGATTGGAACCATTCTTATCAAATCAATTTTTTTACTTAAATTTATAATTAAATTAGATGAAAAAAATTAATAAAGGATTTTAAATGCACTTATAAGTAGAAGTGACATTAAAATTAAAAGACCTAGTAGAAAAATGTCACATGCTTTGCTTTAACTTTTCTTCCTCTAGTTAATTGATATGAACAGATAGTTGGAATCGTTAGAGCATCTCCAATCGTTAGAGCATCTCTCTCTAGATTTAGCCTAATGCCTAAAACCGTCACTTTTCTGTATATTCCGTGGTAACAACTACCCTTCTTGTGTACAATTTTCAATTTATGTGATTGGTTTACACATTGAATCTGTGTTCAATCTTCTCATTCTACTTATAGAAGTTCACTTCCAATGGGTCAATGCACATGGATTAATTGGTCTTCTGACCTTTCACACTTTTCTATATTGCTACTTACGACTACTCAAGTCAAGTGTTCTTTCGCAATTTCTTGTATGCTTACAGCAATCACTGTCTAGTAAGGAAGGGAAAGAAAAATTATGTTTGTTATTTAATTTCTAAAGGCTTGGGTCAATTAATTGGCGATGTTTATTGATGTTGATTTTCCATTGTGCATTGGAAGCTATCAGAATATTTTTAATGAGATGTCAAACTTTCATGATTGATTTTATAGCAAAAAATGCTAGATTTATTATAGAGTATATTTTTATTATTTAATGAAAATTTATGAATCTCTGTAGACCACTGGAAAATGAAAGGATGCGAAATGAATTGGAGAAAGCTGTAAATATCATATGGAACTGTTGGCTACCATCACCAAGAGCAAGTAAAGCCATTTCTTATTTTTTATTATCCTCATCCCACCTTTTAACATTTATTTTATTTTCAACTACCAAACAGTGTGTTGCAACTCAAGAACAGTAAGATTCCTCAAAAACTCTTTTGGAAAACAAACCGTCTCTTTATCACGATCAATGGCTAGGGAAGTGAGACTATTATGATTTGATATTGAATTTAGTACCATGGTGCACTTGCCTTCCAACAACAATTCTTTGGGAGACGAAAGATGGGGGAAGCTCAATTTAAGACAATCACTAATTTCTATCTTACGAAGACGAGGGAACAACTCTTTTCCATCCTCCCTTGACAAACCTTCCAATTTCGGACAATTGTCAACATAGAGTTCTTCCAAAGATGGGAATTCTCCACCGCAAGGATATTCGTTTTCAACACTACTTCCTCCATTCCCAGAATTTGAAGGCTTTGTAGCAAAGGCAACTGTCCAAGCGGTGGAAGTTGTAAGCAGTTGTAGCACCAGTAGAGCTCGATATTAACTACATTTTGAAGATATGAACCCCTCATCCAGAGCGGGAATCGAGTATCTTTGTACACACTTATGACCAACTCCTTTAGGTTTGGATGAGGTTGGAGAGCTTCAAGTACTAGTTCAGGTTTAACATTTTCCTATGCTTCACATTCAATCAATTCATGTCCCCCATTTAGTTCCAACAGACAAAGATTTTGCTTTCCCACTAAATTGGCTTCTTTTGCATCCATCGGATTACTCACTCTCACAAGGTGCTCAATACGAAGTTCTCCTCCAAGGTTTAAGCATTTCAATTCAGCTAGGAGACTACAATCAGTACCCACAACAAATGTAGTTAATGTCTTCAGGTTAGTTAGCTGCCCAATTTTTGGGGGCATCTCAATTAACGGACAACATGACAGATAAAGATGTCGGAGACTTCTCAGGTACATCATGTTCTGGGGCAATCTCTCAAGTAGGAAACAGTAGTTCAGAATTAATGTTTGCAAATTGAAGAGACTACAAATTGAATCCGGAAGTTGATTGATATGAGTAAAGGTTCAGATACCTCAAATGTTTTAAGTTGCCAATTGAAGATGGCAACTCCTTCATTCGTCTGGCTCCTGCATCAAAAGCTCGCAGTGAACCAAACTTTCTGAAATCACACAATAACTCGTCATCTTCTAATGAGAAAGTTGATTGTAGTAGTAATGTCCGTAAGGATACAACTTTGTGAAATGTGTTATTAAAATTCTCCCCAGGCCTGACAACCAATGTTACATGACGAACTTTTTCATTGGATATATTACTTGAACTGTTAAACTTGATCATTTCACATTCATCCTTCATAATTGATTGGGCAAGTTCGTGGGCAAGATCATGCATCTGGAAACATATGTCGGCTTTAAGTTCTTCACCTCTTGAAAAAAAGATATCAAACATAATTCATTCCAAATTTGATCACCAATATCTTCCGGTTCCCATCCTCCTTTGCATGAAACATAGCCATTAGCCATCCAAAGATGAATTAGATCTCTCTTTCGAATTTGAGAACCCTTTGGGAAAATGGAACAATAAGCAAAACATCGTCTTGATTCCAATGGAAGATAAAAGTAACTTAATCTCAAGGTCGGTGTAGACACCCCATTTTTGACTGTCCTCAAGACTTGGACGTCACCGTTTGAACACTCGGTGATCATCCATGTTCGTGTTCGTTTTGAGTTCTCGGAGGTCTCGGTTACGCGCCTTGTCTTAGGATCTCTCAACTTGCTTGTTTTGTGTTTGGTTTTGCACCAAACACTTGTTGTTTTGCTTCTGAGGGTAGGGAATGGCTTGTTGGCCATCCCCACACCTCACCGGCCATGGCTTGAGGCCACCGGCCCTGTTTTGTTGCTACCGGCCATTGGTGGTGGCCAGTCGGCACTCTTTTTGGTCGGCCGACCATTGTTTTGGTCAATTTGTCATTTTTGGCTGGTCGACCACTGTTCATCTACTTTTGGCAGATATTTTATGCCAACTGTGATAGCTGGCATCCACAATGCCCCCCTTCCATACACGTGTATGGAGGGATTTCCCTCTTGCTTAGCTTGTTTTGTAAGCTTTGCAAGATTGGAATTCCTATAAAGGGAGGGCTTCTCCTCCCTCCTCAAGGGTTTCAAAAAGTTCCAGAGGTCTGAGATTAGGGTTAGAGAATCCTATATCTATCTATCTTTATATCTCCCTTTCCTTTTGATTTGTGTGTGCTAAAAGGTGTTTTGTTCTTAGTTTTGCACTAAGACACATAGTATTACACCATACCTTGGTTGCTGAGGTGCCAAAGGGTTGTTCTTGAAGTTTTTGAGCTGGTTTTGACCCAAGGAAGGTGCTGGAGTGGTCTTCTTGAAGAAGGTCTACAAGGGTGAGAACTATTCCCTTTATTCTCCATTTTTTACATAGGCTTTTAACCTATCTTGCATCCATTTTTAAGCTTAGCTATAAACTAAGAAAAGTTCTATTTTTACCTTCTTTTGATCTTTGTTTAAGGTCTCTTTGAGGTTTGGGGTTGTTTCCCCTCTCTAAGGCCTTGTTAGACCTTGTTTAAGGCCATACCTTTTGGCCATTATTTTGAGCTTTGCATGACCTCTCTACCACTGAAACCCAGAGGATTTTCAATGGTGGAGAGGTGGTTTTGAGGTCATCCCCTCTCCATGTTGTCTTTGATGCTTGCATAAGTGGCTTGTGTTGTAGCATGTGAGCCTAGCTTGCTTTAGCTCCATTTCAATGCATATTAGGCTTTGTTTTGCCATGATATAGCACTGTTTTAAGTTGGTTTAGACATGCCTTGTGTGCTCCATACACTTGTCTTGTAATCCCATGTTTTGGCCTTAACATGCATCATGTTGTAACATGTGTTTTTAGCATGATTTTGGCTTAGCTTTGTGAAGCTTTTATGCATGTTTTGGTGTTCTTGAGGTCTGATTTTGGTTGTTTGGGTCATCCATGCCTTGCTTTGTATAGCTATCATGCAATCTAGCTTGTAGGCTTTGAGTATTGGATTCTCTAGCATGCTCTACTTGCATCATTTCAGTGGTTTGGCATCACTTATAATGATATTTCAGTCCATATAGCATGCTCAAATACTTGCATTTATCACCTATTCTGTGCTTTGGATAGTTTGTGTTTTATGCTCCATGTTTAGACCTTTGTGTATGCTTCCATGCTTAGACCATTTAGATGCCATCTAAGTGTGTCTTTAGCCTTATTTTGGTCTGCCTCGGGACTATTTTGAGTCCCTTTGGCCCTTTGAGGCTTGGTTGACATGGTCATGGCTTGAGCCCCTTGGCTAGCCTTGAGTTTTGGACCTTGTTGCATGCCTTACTTACATAGTTTGGTTGGTTTGGCACCATCCTTAACATGATTTCAGAGTTTATCAATGCTTGCCATATATCCATGTTTATCCCTTTTAAGTGTACTTAAAGTTGCTTCTTTATGCTTAAGTTTTGGACTATGTATGCATGCATGTTTGTATGTAAATTTGCCTTCATGTTCTTAGCATTTTGGCCACTAATTTGGGCTTATTTGAGAGCTGCCCATATTAGTTTAAGACCATCCCGTATGTTGTTGCATGCTTGCCTAGTATGTTGTCACATACTTGTTGCATGCTTGCCTAGTATGTTGTCACATACTTGTTGCATGTTTAGTGAATTACATGTTGTAGCATGCTAGTTCAATTGTGCTTCGTTGTGTACTTAATTCATGACATGTTGTTGCCTGCTTAGGTTGTAATGCATTTGGCATGCATTCTCTCTTTTAGTCACTTAACATGTTGTTACATGTTTGTATGTTGTCACATGCTTGCATGTTTGCATGCTTATTCACATTTTCATGGTGCATACTTAGCTTCCATGCCTAGGTTGCATTGCATTGAGCATGCATGCCTTGCCTCTTGATCGAGCATGATAAAGGTTGGGTCCCTCATGTGTTTGTATGCATTTCATTTGACATCAAATGCACAACTTGACACCTTGGACCATCATGCATTGAAATGCGTGATTGGTGGCCCGAAGGTCGAGAGCCAAACTCCCTTGAGTTCATGACATGATAGGGAGGTTGGTTGTGCAAACATTTTCTTTGAAAATGCATTGCCATGTCTTGTCTGTCCTCTATTGCAGCAAACCAGTCTTCTGCAGGAATAAATGGCCGGCCGGCAATTTTCAGTGCCGGCCGACTATCAAAACCCAGCCGGTGGCATAATTTTTGGTCGATGACCAGTTCTCCATGGCCGATGGTGTTTCTCCTTGGTCGGTGACCTCCCACAGTGCTTAGGGAGTAGTCCAGAAGTAACCTTGAGACTTGTGCAGTCCTCAGAGGTGTAGAGCAATGTAAACAGAGGCAACATGTGACATGGCGGTGGATTTCCGAGCGGGGCCGAGCGTGCTTGCATTCGTCCCTCTTCCCGAAGTTGTTTTACTGCTTTCAGTAATTTAATTAATTAAGGGTCTGTAATATTTAATTAGCTTGTTAGTTAATTAATTTGTATTATTCATTCGGACCCTCCGTTGAGAGGGCGAATTTGTAATAAGTGTACGTGCGTGTGTGAATGTCTTCCAACCCCACATCTTTCTCCCTTTTATTTACTAGCTTTCGATGGTTAGTTTAGGACATGTTTCAATTAGCATACTTATGCTCGCATGTTTGCATCATTCATCTGTTTTGCATGCACCGGGCTCGACGCATCATGCTAACTGCATTGTGTTTCAATTCCAACTTGAATACGTGTATCGAGTTGTCGCATTTCACATGCCATTCTTAGGATAACCGAGCCTATTTCTAGTTGCATTTTGCATGTGTTGCATTAGCCATCTTAACATGAACTAGGATCATGCATTTGATTACTAACTAGTTTCTGTTTTGGCTTGGAGTACTAGGTAAGCATTTACGCTTTAGCATCCTTGCATGCATGTGAGTGACTGCCATGATAGCATGCTTGCCATGAGGCTATTTGCTTACATGATATAATTGCCTAAGTGCCTGTAGGTGAAGGTTGGGTTTCTTGAGTTGGAATAATTCGTCGAAACCCGTGTTTTAGCCTACTTGTGAGTAGCAAATTTCAATCCATTCTCAAAACAAACGGGCATGCGATGCTTTGTTCCGAATTAGGCAATCCAATCTATACTTGTATGGTGCGTACATCACATAGTAATTCTAGGCTAATAACCAGTTTAAGAGCACATATGTTTTCAAAACAAAATATCATGCTTAGTACAGGCCGAACTTCGGATCGGGCGAGCGGGGGTGCTCATAGCTGACCTTCCCCAGTCGTACCCAAGTTCCCAAGCCAAGGAAACTTTGGTGATGACAGACACGTGGCCTTAGGCAACGAGTCAGGGTTTCCTAAATTCTCCCAAAACAAAATATTTAGGTGGCGACTCTGTATCTGGCAAAGCAGTCCATGTTTGGCACTTCTTTCTTAAAAATCTGTTTTCCAAAACGATTTGCCGGATTTAGACTCTTTGGTGATTTATCAATCTTGCATTGCACACTGCGAGACCAGATTAAGAACCGTGACTATTTGAGTCTGAACTGTAGCATGAGGCCCACGGGCGCGTCTACAGTTGGCAAGATGGAATTTTTGTCCTGAGGTGAGTTCCAAATTTCACTTTCCTTAACATGAAGCCACTCTTTTTCCTCACTTTTGAAGCACATTAGCCCTCTAAGGGCCTTTGCAGCTAAAGGCTCACCCCCGCACTTCTTCACTATCTCCTTCCCGATGGCGACAAGGTTTGGATGTTCTTCATTTCCACATCCAAATGCTCGTTGCCTGAACAATAACCAACAATCTTCTTTGGATAAAAATGACAAGCGATGGGGTGAAATAGTTCTTATGATTAATGCAACCTTATCAACACGAGTAGTGACGATAATGGAAGCACTTTTTGATGCACGTGCTAGTGAATACTTGAGAGCATCCCACTTGACTGGATCTTCGTCCCACAGATCATCTAATATAATTAGGTATCTTTTCCCATTCAGCATGTTGCGAAGCCTTCTCTGCAGTGAGTCTAGGTCAACTGCCTCACAAGCATTTCCATTTGCAGATTCTGTTGTTGCTTTGATCACCCTCTTCACATCAAAATCTTGAGAAACATAAACCCAAATTTTAAGATTAAAGTGGTGTTTGACCCTCTCATCATTGAAGGCCATTTGCACAAGGGTCGTCTTTCCAAGCCCGCCAATACCAAGTATAGGATAAACAGAAACATCCTCACTATCACATACATCCTCCTCCAGAAATTAGACAATCTTGTCTCTATCTTCATCTCTTCCATAGAGTTGTGGCTGAGTTATAAAGGAGCTGGTTTTGCGGCTTACATCATATTCAACTCGTTTCTCCACCACAAGTCTCTCGTTTAAGTGAAATTTACTACGATTAGCCGCAATCGCATCAAACTTGTCTGTAATCTCTTTAATTCTATTCCCTATGTTGTGATGAAACGGAATATTGGGAGAGGCATAAGTAGTTGGCAAATAAGAGAGTACCTTCCTCTTGAGAGAAGCAGAGGAGGAGCCTTGACCTTCACATTCGCATCGGAGGGCTTCAAATACACACTCATCCAAGATGTCATCTGCCTCGTAGGCTGCATCATTGAGCTCTTTCAACCAATTTTGCATAGCTTTGTCTTTCAGTTGTTTTTGTTCTGCATTTTCGAGGACAGGATGGATAGTGGAGAGAGTGCTTGAAAGCTTTTTTATGGCCCCGTTTGGTAGAGCTATGGGAAAGTGATTATAAATTATAACTTAACAGATTATAACTTACAGCTGTGAGTATAAGCCGCTTTCAGCACCCCAAAGCAAGGCCACTTCATTTTTGAGCAAGGACTCCAAATTTTCAATCGCAGGGGTAAGATATGGGACAACAGCCATTACTGACTCCATAGCCATCTGGATTCAAGGTATTAAGCTCAAAAATATAATTGCAAATGCTTTGCCATACTTGAATGACCGAAGACATTAGTTCAATTGTTGAGTCCAATTGAATCAAACGTGATGTCATAATTATTTAATAAATATATTTAAAATTATAGTGAAATAAATATAAATATTAAATGTAAACTATATATTTATATACTAAATATATGAGTTTAAATATTTATTTTTGGGTAAATTACACTTTACACTAAATTTCACTTTGGCCCTTATACATGAAATCATAGCAGCCAATCCTCTGCACTCCTAATCAATTTTCACTTTGGTCCCTCCATATGAAATTGTGACAATCAATCCATTGTACTTTCGGTCAAATCTCACTTTGGTTCCTATACAGGTTTCAGTGTCTTATTTTTGTTACTCAATTATTTAAATCTTTAACAGAATCTACTTATGTGATAAGAATATGACTACGACATGAGGGTAAGAAAAAAAAATCATTTATATTTTCCACCAATACACACTTTATCCTAAAATTTACATCAAAATATGACTGTATTAAGCTAAAACAAAACACAGATTGTGAACAATTAAGTAGATGAATTAGGGTTTTGCATAAATTGAAATCACAAAACTCTATTTTTTTACGATAGCACAGTCTTCTGTCTGTTCATCTTTCTTTCTCTTTGATTTCTTTATCGTAATTTTTTTTTTCGTTTCAAAAGTTCTATTTTCTTACCTTTTTGTCTCAATTTTTACTATACGAACATATATATATATATATATATATTGTATTATATAATTATCATATGCTTATCACATAGGACAGTGTATTGGTAGGAACCATGAATGATTTTCCTCTTTTACCCTCATTTCGGAGTCACATTTTTGTCATATGATTGGATTTTGTTAAAGATTTAAAAATAAAGTAATAGAAGGGACATTGACACTTATGGAGGGACCAAAGTAGGATTTGAGTAAAAGTGTAGGCGGTTGACTGTCAAGATTTCATATGTAGGGACCAAAGTAAGATTTGACCAAAAGTGTAGAGGGTTAATTGTCATGATTTCATGTGTAGAGGCCAAAGTGAGATTTTGTGTAAAGTATAAGTGTGCAAAGTGTAATTTACCCTTTATTTGTTTTTGATTGAAAATGATTTAATTATAATGTCATAACTTTTTTTTCGATTTGAATATAATATCATAACTTGCTATGGTTTTGTGATGTATAAGTATATAGCATGATCCATTATAAAATTTCCCATATATATACATGTGTATATCTGTAATTTTTCTTCTGAAATATAGAGAAAAAGTAAGACACCCAAGTTTTCTGAGAATGGAGGTGAAAGGTAGATGATGAAGGATGTTTAGCTATAGTGATGGTAAACATAAGAGGGCTATTTGGTTATGCTGCGATATGGGTAAAAATTAAAAAGAAAAGAAGGGGAAATTAAATTTTGTAGAAGGGTAAATTAATATATGTATAATTTATGTTACTTACAGTCATTCAACAATTCTCATAGAGAAGTTAATGTAATATCAAAGACCACAGGGTAGGTTCTCAAATATCTCAAGGGATGTCCGTGTAATTAACCCTTTCAAAAATAATTTTCGAATTTTGATTTAATATTTTTGGTGAATTTTTTAATATTTAATTAGACTTTTTTATTTTTTAGATTCACTTAAAAATTATAAAATTTGTTCATTATCTTTTTGAATTTCACAAATATTTATTTTTTAAATACATCGAGATTAGATACATCTAATAATAATATTTTTTTGACTAACATATAGAGAAAAAAAACTCGTTAAAGACAACAAAAGGATCAATTAACTTTGTTAATGTAAACTCCACCTCCACTCCACCTACTCCACTACACAACTCCACTTCCACTCCACCTACTTCACCTACACCACCTACTCCACTACACCTACTCTCCACCCACATCTCCTATATAAAGGAGACCACCATGTACATAATATATAACATATCAGTATAAATACATTTTATTCTCTCTCTTTCTCTATACATTAATTCTAACATGGTATCAGAGCTAGGTTAAGAACCTTATAATTTCGCTTCACCAGCGGGTGGCAGCCTCGCCTTGGCCGCCCCACCGGACCTCAGCCCTCATTAACGGAGTACTGCACTTCTCTCGGGATCATGAAGCCCAATCTCATGGAGGGAATAGACCACTGATCTCTCTCTCTCTCTCTCTCTCTCACATACACACACACACACATACACAAGAGAAAGAAAACATGGATGCCGGAGCCAGCAGCGGCGCTTCAGCCGATACCTGGCCTTGTTCTCCGGCAGCAGCCGTGTCACGGTGGAGCTTCGCCATGAGCCAGTGGTATCAATACTTACTCGACAAGTCGAACCCATACGTACCCAAGCGCTGGATCGCGTTCGCCACAATCGCGATCATATACGTGCTCCGAGTTGTCATCTTCTCGGGTTTGTACCTCGTATCATACGCTCTCAGAATCTACATCCTCAATCTCCTCAACGGGTTTCTCTCTCTCCTCACTGTTCATCGCCACCATCGGTGGTGGCTCCGACTACAACTCCACGTGGCGAGGCTCACCACCAATTGTCTCATCGGCGAGCTTTCATGCCTCCGCCGATCTCTCATCGCGATCGGCGTTTCATCCTCCGGTCTATGGTGGCGATCGGCATTTCACCCTTGCCGTGGTGCTACCAAAACACACCGATCCATCTATGAGCACCTGAGCCTACTTTGTTTCCCCTGATACTCAACTACCCTCTCTCCACTAATTCCTTTTATTATTATTATGAACAAACTCAGAACCCATGTGCTCTTTGATCCCTTTTATGACACTTTGCATCTATGAGGAAGTAACAAAAAATAAAATAAAATAATCAAAAGGCAACCCTATTCATTTTCTTATTCTTCTTAGAGCACTGACTTGCACCCTCCTCGGGCCACCCATTCACTTTTCTAATTATTATTATATACCCTTTTCCATTCTCAAATATTCTCCGCCCAAAACCATCATCACATTTTCCACCGCCCCAAACATTCTTTCTCTTATATATATATATATATATATAAAAAAAAAAAAAAAAACAGCAACAACAACATCAACCACCTACCACAACCCACAAACACCGACCTTACTTTTTCATCTCTTCCGCTACTCTCTTCCTCTTGCCTCTGTCTTGGGCATCCCTTAACGGCCCTACCTCCATGTTTTCCAGCCCACCGAGCAAGTTGCCTCCCTATTGCTTCTCCTATGCAGCATATGGCGGCCCTCCGAATCGGAACATGACGGTGGCCTTCCGTTTCAGATCCTTGTTTTCCGCCTTCAGCGCGCAAATCTCTGCTCGCGCATCCTTGTACATGCGCTGCAGTAGAGAGAGTTGGGCATTTAACTGTTGTACCTCACTTGCCCTATTCTGAAGCCGGTGAGACAAGTTAATGACCGCAGTCATGGTCTCCACACATGACTTCAATGTATAATGGTTGGCCTCAATATCAGATTGAGCTGCCATTATTTGCTCAACTGACAGCATAGGAAAGTTCAACGGAGCAAAAACAGAGGCGCTCGGTCCAGGGGCATTTGGTTGCGATTCAAGGGCGACAGAACCGGTTATCTCTATTGTGGACTCGTTTAGGTCTAGAAAAAGGGTGAGCAAACTACGAGAAGAGGAGGCCACATCAGAGGCAGCACAAGCAGGGGGTTACAGAGTGGACGAAAGGGGTTGCAGAGTTCATCACTTTGGTTTTCTTTCAATCTCTAACCAACCTCAGCCTCAGCCTTGATTTAAATAGAGAGCAAAGAGACGAAGATGACAAATGGGAGTGAGAGCCACGTGAATCGCGCGACACTCGAAGCCACAGTGTCATGCACGACTTTTGATGTATTGGGCGCGATTTTTGAGGGAGCGTATATATATATATATATATGTATATCTTTTGGGCAGCCTATATACATGACCATATAGTGTATTTTACAGTGGTTCGACACAACCATACAATGTCTTCTACAAACGGTCTGACACGATCACATAGTGTCTTCACCAACGGTCTGACACGACCATACAGTGTCCTCTACAACGGTCTGACACGACCACACAGTGTCTTCTACAACAGTCCGACACGACCATACAGTGTCTTCACCAATAGTCTGACACGACCATACAGTGTCTCTTATCCTCTTTTATTTTATGTATTAGTTTATTTTCCTGTTTTGTTACTCTCTCCAAACTCAAGTTGGTTTGTGCCTATCCTGCTTGAGTTTGACGGGGGCTGTTAATGTAAACTCCACCTCCACTCCACCTACTCCACTTCACCTACTCCACCTACTCCACTACACCTACTCTCCACCCATATCTCCTATATAAAGGAGACCAACCATGTACATAATATATAACATATCAATATACATACATTTTATTCTCTCTCTTTCTCTATACACACTACAAGAAAAAACACATTTGGCGACTAAATTTTTAGTCTCCAAAAGTCAATTTTTAGTCGCCAAAAGTCGGTTTTTTAATTTCCCCGACTAAACTTTTTAGTCGCCGGTTTGGTCGCTGGAAGACAGTCGGGAAAGGTATTGGCGACTAAAAAACTTTTAGTCGCCAAAAAACAAGTCTTTAACGACCAATTTTTTAGTCGCCAATAGTCAATTATATTTTTTTAAATTATACATTTACCGACCAATGTTTTAGTCGCTAATACTCAAGGAATCGGCAACCAAACCTTTTAGTCGCCAAAAGCTCATTCGTGAAAAAAAAAAATTTACACTCGCTAGCTTCTCATCTGCTCTTGTGGAGATTTGAACCATCAACCTCCCACATCATAAACCTTATACAACACACCCTTTCCACTACGCCCTCATAACATCATATAATTATATATGCAACATATATTATTTATATAGTACTTAGACCCGTATTAATATCAAAGTATATATATAAACATAATTATTTTTTATTGAACATAATTTATGTAAAAATAATAGACCCGTATTAATATAAAAGTATATATATAAAGATAATTATTTTTTATTGAACATAATTTATGTAAAAATAAATTATTTACTAGAAACAAAAGAGACCACTTTTGGCGACTAAACATAATTTTAGTCGCTAATTCTATACTGTTGGCTACTAATTATTTTTTAGTCGTTAAAAAATTTAATTCCCGCGCTAAAATTACCACTTTTGGCGACGAAACTTCTTTTTAGTCGCCAAAAAGCCTCACTTTTGGCTACTAAACATCTTTTTAGTCGTTCAATGCCTCACTTTTGGCTACTAAATTATTTTTAGTCTCCAAAAAGCCTCACTTTTGGCCACTAAAATTTTTTTAGTCGGTAAAAGCCTCACTTTTGACGACCAAACATCTTTTTGGTTGCCCAATGCCTCACTTTTGGCTACTAAATTTTTTTTAGTCGCCAAAAAGCCTTACTTTTGGCTACTAAAATTTTTGTAGTCAGTAAAAGCCATATATCGGTGGCCAAACAGATTTTTAGTGGCCAAAACCTATACTTTTGGCTACTAAATTTTTCTAGGTGCCAAAAATCTTTACTTTTGGCTACTAATGCTTTTTTTGTCGCCAAAACCTATACTTTCAGTAACCAAAGGTGCTTTTTTAGTCGCCAAAGATGCTTTTTCTTGTAGTGACATTAATTCTAACAAACATAATCACTTAGCCTTTGGGTCTTTGTCCTATTTTTTGATTGGATTGTTTAGTTTGGGAGTTAAATGTCTTTATTCCAAGGTTTACCACACAATTTATTCTCTAGTCTATAGAGAAGAAGAAGTATAGCGATCCCGATTTTCCCTCCATTGGTTGTTGTATTCCAAACTCGGTTCCGTAGATGTTTGTTGTTGTATAGGTTTCATTTCCGTCTTTTAATTCTTTGTAGACGAGTTTTAGAATGTGTTGGGTAGGTTTGTAGCAGGTTGGGTGTGTTTTGAAACAAATGGTTGCTGCCAAGATTTTGGTGTCTTCGCTCGAGTGAGACTTTTGTCGCTCGAGCGAGCTCTGTGTTTTATCTCCTTCGCTCGAGCCAGGGTTCCTTCACTCGAGCGAGAGTTGAGTGGTGTGTCTAGTGGCTCGAGCGAGAAGTCTTGCGCTTGAGCTTGCGTCTGCGTCTCTTTTGACCTGAAGGTTGCATTTCTTCGCTCGAGCGAGCGAGGACTATGTTTTGGGTTTCTTCGCTCGAGCGAGCTTTCCTTCGCTCGAGCGTGCTTCTAGGTTGCAGACCTGAAGCTTCGAATTGTTGGCTCGAGCGAGGTGTCTTTATGTCTGGTCGCTCAAGCGACCACTCCTTCGCTCGAGCGAGGCTCAAATATATCAGTTCGCAGTAGCTTCTTCTTCTTCTTCACCTTTTCTTCATCTCTTTTATTCAAAACCCTAGAACGGTTGCTCTCTCTCTCTCTCTACATACCTTCTCTCTAAGATTTCATCTACTTCTAGAGTGTTTCTACCATAATCTCTTTGTAAGAAAGGTAGAGAGTGGTGTGGGCGTCACTTTAATCTGAAAAATCGTGGATTTGGAGCACTTTGAGTTTTCTTCATCTACTCCTTTGGGCTTCTAACTTCGAGGTGGGGATACCCTACTCCTTCTTATGGGTTTTAACATAGATTTTAGTCATTTTGTATAAATGGTGGGTTATGGTTAATTTGGGAAAGTTAGAGTTTGTTTTAAAGTTATAAAAAGGGGGTTTAAAATTGTTAAACCCCATGTATATGTGAGACCTTGGAAAATGGATGTATTGTTGCTAAATTAATGAAATTGAACCTTAGGGTTGGTATTTGAAAAAGGAAGAAAATGCCCTAATTATATTGAATAATTAATTTGGGAAAATATGGAATTGAGTTGGAAATCTTGAAATTGGGAATTTATGAGATTGAACGGTATAGTTGGATTAATGAATCACTCACCCATGATAATGTTGATATTTTATCTGTTTGATAAATTTATTATCTGTTTAGAGATAATTGCTTTGGGCTAGTCTTGTGTGTTGTAGACACTGTATGTTGATTAGAGAAAACTGAAACTAATCACCTGGAATGTGTCATTGAATATGACGGTTGGGATAATACATCGAATATGTGTATTGGTTAATCATTGTATATGATAAGTGTTTAAATACATTGTATATATATATATATATTTGTTTGTGAGGAGAAAGGGGATGTACTCCATGTATGATTATGTTTTTTAAATACATTATATATGTTTGATTGATTGGGAGAAGAAAGGGGATGCACTCCATGGTTTGGGAGGAGAAAGGGGATAGACTCCATTAAAATTAAGTTGGTCGGAGTGTCCTGGGTGTAAGTCCCGAAATTATACATGGGTGCCA